CCCTCCAGTCTACCCTGGTGTTGGACTGCATAACCGGGACGGCAGGCAAGAGTCAGGGGAACACCCCCTTCCCTGCCCATCCATGTTTGGTTATGCATGCCAGAACTGCATCCTCCTCCAGAATCTGATCTTGTATAATCTGGGACTTATTTGCTACAGATCTGGCATTCAACAACACCAGGTTTAGAGTGGAGGGCAGGCTGAGGTGAATACCTCGAGTCTGGCAGGAGGCCACAGTGCCAGAACAGTGAACAGATTTCAAACATCTGTTCACCGTTCTTCGGCTACTATACCATACCTCCCTCTGCCAGAGATCACCCTGATGTTGGAGAGCCCCCCTCTGGGCAGAGGGGGGGGCAAGCTTTCCAGTCCATGCCAAACAGAAAGAGAAAAGAAAAAGAAAAAAAATTAACAACTAAAAAACCACAGAAAGAGAAAAGAAAAAGAAAAAAAATAACAACTAAAAAAACCCAATAAATAACGACAAGGATTAACAAATCAAATCAAATAAACAATCAAACAAACAAACCATAACATAACAAAATAAACAATCAAACAAACCATAACATAACATAATAAACGAAATGAAATTAAATTAATAACATAAGCAACTAAAAATTAACACTCAGAACAGGGGAGAGACAAAACAGAATACCCCCCACCCAGATCACATATGGCCCGGTCATGTCCAGAGACAGTTCCAGTCCTCACAGCTGAGCTGACATCTACAGTTGTTACCCCCAGGTCTTGGTCCCCTGCTGTTCCTACTGCCAGATAAATTGAAGTTCCCGTTGGCCAAGGCCAGCCTGGGTGGCAGTTGGGGAACAGATGTAAGTTGGAGCTGAGGTAGAAAAGTCTGAGTCGATCGGAGCTGAGGCAATGTAGAAATGGTGGCTGAGGCGGAGCTGTGTTTGCTGACACCGAGCCAGGTTGGGGCCTTTGGGACTTCGTTGCTGCAGATCTTGTACATTGCCACTGCCAGAACCGTCGTGGTTACTTCACTCTCCTTTAGCTGGCTCCGAATTCTTTATCAGCATTGAGCCCAGAGGCGTGGTGACTGGCTTGCTGTTGCCGGCATGGGAGCTTTCACTTGTAGTCCTAAAGTTTGATGAGCCAAGAAAACACAACCCAGAGCAGGGGGTGGGGCTGGAAACAAGCAGCAAGGCAGAAAAGGCTCCAAGACATGGGGAAACTCCAGCAAGAGAGACACTGGGAGGCTCCAGTGTGAAGCAGGTAAGCAAAGCCAGTAAGACAGAAAAGTAAAAAGCTCACTATATTTAGCAAAGCCAGTTAGACAGAAAAGTAAAAAGCTCACTATATTCCTGCCTGCCTGCCTGCCTGTTTCCCTCAAGGGCAACAACTGCAACAGCGTTGTTATTCTTTTCTCCAATGTTGTTGTTCTTTCTTGCCGGCGATAGCAGCTGCATCAAGGAGGGAGGCAAGTAACAAAGAAAAACAAAGAAAGCAAAAGACAAGAGCCCCAAAGGAGACCAAAAAGAAAAGGGAAAAGCTGACCCAGCAGGAGGAAAATCACACTTCTGCTATCGGGTCGCCACCTTGGATGCTCATCAAGTCTTGGATGCTTTACCCGAAGGGAGTCTTCCCTTCCTTTTTGCTAAGCCCCATGGCTTCGCAAAAGCAAGGAAAAGCGGCAAAGGGAGCCCTCCCTTCCTTGTTTTTCTTTTCCTTTTGCTAAGCTCTGTGGCTTAGCAAAAGGAAGGGAAAAGCAGAGATCAAATTTTCTAATTTGGGGTTAGAAAAGGGGGGTCATCTTATAAATGGAAAAATACATTACCTCAGTAAGAATGTCAGCTGGAATTCCAGTTGCCATCAGGATTATACAAAGCTGCTGAAGCAACCCACACTGGAACATGGCTTTTTGGCAACTGCTGGTGGCACCAGGGGGATTTGTGGGGGACACAAGCACTCGGACCAGCTGTAAAGAAAAAAAATATTGCATACACACATCCTATGACAGATACAGTAGTTCTAGAAAGTGAAGTGGAAACTGCTATGAAAGCATTACAAGAAATAAATCACTATGGGTAAATGGAACACCGATAGAACTGTTTCAAACCACAGAGACTGAACCTATCAAAATCCTAACAAGAATATGCCAACAAATATGGAAAACAAAACAATGTCCCACAGATGGGAAATGTTTAATATACATTTCAATCCCCAAGAAATGAGATGCCAAGGATCATTGCTTCAATTTCTCATGCAAGCAAAGTGATGCTCAAGGCATTGCAACAAAGGCTCTTTTTTTAACCTCATATGGAGTAAGAAATGCTTGGTGTTCAAGCAGGATTCTGAAAAGGAAGAGACACTCAGGATGATATAGCAAACATCCACTGGCTCAGTTTAAGTTTTATAGACTATAATAAAGTCTTTCACTGTGTAGATAATGCAAAATTATGAGTTGTGCCTCAGCACTTGATTGACAGGAAACTACCATTAAGATAGAACATGGAGTGGCAAAATGGGTTCCTATAGGCAAAGGTGTCAGACTAGGATGCATTTTATCACTTTATCAGTTCAATTTGTATGCAGAATCAAACAGAAAGCCAGACTAGAATCGGATGAAGTAAGAGTGAAAACTGGTGGAAGAAATATCAATAATTTAAGATACACAGATGGTACCATCTTACTGGCAGAAAGCAGCAGTGGCTTAAAATAACTTTTAGTGAAAGTGAAAGTCAAAAGTGCCAAAGCAGGACAGTAGGTGAACATCAGAAAAACAAAAATTATGACTACAGAAGAACTACACAACTTTAACATTAACAATGAAGAAACTGAAATAAGAGATTTTGTATACTTTGGTTCAACCATCAATTCAAATGGAGAGTGTAGCCAAGAAATCAGAAGAAGACAGATACTTGGAAGAGCACCAAATAAGGAATAAGAAAATGCCATTAATTTTAAGGATGTGTCAGTGGAAACTGAGACCAAGATCATCCACACTCTTCTATTCCTGATTCTCATGTATGGTGTGAAAGCTACACAGTAAAGAAAGCCGACACGAAAAAACTTGTTTCTTTTGAAATGTAGTGCTGCAGTAGAACTTTTTGGATATCCTGGATGGCCAGAAAGAGGAACAACTTGGTCTTAGATCAAATCAGGCTCAAACCATTTCTGGAGCCAAAAAATGTTGAAACTGAAGCTGTCTTGCTTTGGACATATCATGAGAAGGCAGGATTTTCTGGAAAAGACAACAATGTCTGGAAAGCTGGAAAGGAGCAAAAAAGCGGAAGGCCAAATACAAGATGGACTGACCCTCTAAAGAAAGCTACAGGCTTAAGTTTGCAAGTGCTGAACAGGGCAGCTGAGGACAGGTCATTCTGGAGACCACTAATTCATAGGTCTGCGTGTTTTGGGGGTGACTTGACAGCACAGAACAACACATGTGCTGAAAATATTGGAAACATTATTTCCATTATAACTTCTTTTATAAAACAGAACTACTGTATACCAAATTCAAGAGACACATTACTTTTAAAGTGAACATTTTACTTTGACTTTATGACATTGCTCTCACTTTACCTTTATATACTGAAAAGCATTTACCTGAAGCATCAAATGTAGATTGGTTACTTTCTGTGCTGACCAACCAGCATTGTCATCACCAACTTCAAACCACGGTTTCATGCGCTGAATGTAAGAACCTTCTTTAAAGAAATTCTGATTTGAATTGTTATTCTTCAACAAATTTTGTAGTAAGAGGAGACAATCCTCCACAACTATACCTGCAAAGAGAGAATAGTGGATGGATATTCATTTCCACATTTGAAATCATGCCATCTCCACAGGGCCAGCATTTCCTAATGTCAGAACAATGAGAATAGTGGGTTTTTTTAAAGGTTGAGGCAGATTTGCCTCCACAAAGGAAAAATGTATGACACTGAGCAACGTCTAAGCACAGAATGCATTCCTTCCAAAAAGAAAGTGCTTTAACTCTCAGTTTGGAGCAGATATTGGATATTCTATTTAACAAGCAAGTTCTTTAAAGCCATGCCAATATCTTTTGCTGTATGAAGGGCAGAAAATGCTGATGGAGTATTGCTTATGTTGGATGGGAATGGATATCAAAGAAAGAATAACCAAGCCAAGGTTTACAGGTAAGCCCACAAAATATAACCATTTTTTACTAGTCAGTTAAGAAGCTAGTAACCTGTCCTTCCACATTAGCTGTAGAGAAGCAACCAATTAATTTTCCTTTATACCCAGCACAGAAACCAAGTATACTGGAAAAGGAAAAACATAGCTCCATGCCTTCTCAGTGTCAGCTTTACTCGGTCAGCTGCATGGAATTCCTTGTCACCTATAGCTACATAGTGACTTGTTAAATACAGGTTTGTCCAAACCCTTCTGTAGAAATTGACTTGCTCGTGCAGGGGATAAAAGCTTATAAGAAGATGTAGTCCCTGCATATAGCATTTAATCAGAAGGCAAGAGCAGCTCAGGCTAGATGTTCTTTCAATACTTAAGCTGCTGATACTCAGACCCAGGCAAAGTCACGGGGAAAAGTGGTGATAATACGGAATGAAAGTGGAGTGGTGGAAGCAAAAAGCAGAGGCCAACTGAATTAGAAATACACAGATTGTGCACAAATAGCAAACCATTATCAAGATAGTGCAAGAATCCTTGGCTGTTAATACAGTACTCTTAAGTAGGGTAGGATATCTATGACATGTCATATTTTTTGTGCTACCTATGTTTGACCTTATGGGTGGGTCTGAACATGGTGAGAAAGGCCAGATTACTCATAAACATATTTGCTCATTGTTTCAAATGTAAGTTGCAGAGAATATATGAAATGTCACAAAAATTCTCTTACTCGTAACATAAAAGCAATATAAGATGTAATGTCACGGCAACCATGTGAATGTCCTTCTCTTTAGATATTATGGTTCAATATCAGAAAGCCCAACAAATGTGAGACTAAGCAAGAAGGGAAAACAACAGTTCAGGAGTACAATGAAAGGGGCACACCATTTGACCTGGGAATGCAGCTGACAGCTCCACCAGCTATGAGAAATCCAGGTATCAGACTTCTGATTCATGAGAGAAGCCACAAGTGTTACAGGAGCTGTTTAAAACTGCATTTTATTATCCTCAAACAAAATGGAGGGCTAGATTCTAACTCTAATCCATGAGATATTCAAGCATATTCGTATGTTCAACACTTTTCACAGGCAACTGCAATTCTGAAAAAAAAATCCCCATCAAGGTATTTAAAATGCAGATATAACACTATAAACTGACAGTTTATACATTTAACAATACCCACCTACACAATTCTCTGGAGCTTAAAGACCACCCTTACCCCCACCAGAACTGCATTGCCAAATTACACTGGCAGAGAAGTTAACTGGTGTTTGTGTTAATCAAGATTTCCATTGCACTCAGAACTGCAATTATATCTTTGCCACCTAATGTTTCATAAGCTATGCAAACAAGTTCTCAAGTGCATACCTCCATCACTATTTCCTTCCTCTGTTATGATATCCAACAACCTCTCAAAAGCATTTTCGAAAGCAACTATTTTCTGGATGGCTGCATTACTTCTTGTTAACTGCTGAAGTAGCAAGACACCCTGTAGGGGGAAAAAGTAGACAAAAATGACAAACTCCTCCAAGAATGCAGAGAAAGTGTTCCTTGAAAGGACTGACTGACATCCAAAGTCAAACCCATTCTTTATTATTATTGGTTTAGGAAATAGTTATACTGTATCTATTTCATTATAAGTTTATTTGAGCTTTTAATGAAAAGCAGTGTAAAATGCTCTTGAAAGGAAGGAAGGAAGGAAGGAAGGAAGGAAGGAAGGAAGGATATCACAACAGAATCTATATTACTGCTTGTAAGGACAACTTTCAGAACCTATATGACACAACCTTTTAAAGAATTGCACAGTCTGCCTATATGTTTCTGAGTTCAAGGTGTTGAACAAGGTGTTTTAAATACCTATATATTTGAGAGAGCTCATATATCACTTTCCCAACTATTAAACTTTGCTGGACAAAGCCTCTTCCAAGTCTCACCGCTGATCATGGTAGATTATGTGAAGACAAGGAACAGAGCTTCCTCAGCTGTAGCACTCTAACTGTGGAATGTTTCACCTTGGAGACTAAACTGCCACCAACACTGCCTTTATTCTGACGCTAAATTAAAACTAAGTTGTTCACCCAAACATTGCTAATTGGGAAGATCGATGGCTTGGTCTTTAATCCTTCACTTTGCTGTTTTTCTCTCAATTGCTTTAACTGTTAAACTTTTTTAAAGTGTTCCTTTTTTAAAATGTTCTTAGTTCTTAGCATGATTTCTTGACTATACCGTGCCTTGACCTCTATTAATGTAGGACAGGAAATAAATATGTCAACAATTAAACAAACAAACAAGAAATGTAATTTGTTTACTGAAAGTACTCTGGAGTTCTGCAGTGACACAAGTCAACACAGTACTACATACATGCCATATACATAGACTTGAGATAACGTGCTTTTACTTCAGCATTCAGATGCTGAACAGTGGCTTGATGAAGAGAGCTAAAATTTACCATTTATAAAGCAATTTGAATTTTAGACAGATTATCACGTCACTGTAAACTTTTATTACTTCCACTTACATCATTCCGTATAACCTCTCTTGAATCTGCTAGGAGATCCATCAACCTTGAAACACCTGGAGCAAAAAACAATGAAAGGAGGATTGTTATGACCACAGATATACTGCTGTATTATAACAAGTCAGTATGGTGGTTAGCAATTACCGATACATCTTTTCTAGGCAATTCTCTAGCCTAATCCCCATATTATTTTACCCAGGCTTCGTGCCCTGGAGAGGACACTCCAGCTTCACATACAGCATCGAAACACTAGATGCTGTTCCAAGTCCTCCATACAGAGCATGTTACCATAGTCTCTTGAGACTGAAGGATGTCTATGCTATGCTATGTTTTCTAGGCAGCAACAGGTTTCCAAGGTGTCAACAAGAGGCTTTCCTTAGCTCTAAAGCAGGGATCCTTTGCCTGGAAATGAACATGACTTCCTTCCTATTGGTGATCTTTTGGCTAGAAATGAATAGGATTTGAAGTATGATCCCTATCTTATTTTGGTATGTCCATTAAGAGTTCTGGATCCACTTACTGACAGTCAGAAGAACTGGGAAAAAAACCAGCAGATACTGTATTCCAGGGCATTACTGTTCACTACTAGATATACTAGGTAGTTTTCTTACCACCAACATACTGCAATGTCTTTGGTTGATCTGGAGGTTACATTCAGCTTGTTCCAGAACACTAGGGATGAGGCTTGAAGTTTGAAGGAGCTGTCAGATCTGGTCTTATTTCTGGAAAACTAAGTGGTCCTGATGGCAGGAAGTACTGCTCAATAGCTTAGGCCACCGAACCAGCTGCAGCCTTTTCTAGACATAAATAGCCTGGACACAGTAACTTTTGCTCTAGTGATATTCTGCTTAAATCACTGTAAATAGTGTAACTGTGTTAAAACAGTTCAAAAACAATGATTTGCCTGCCATAATCTGTACAAATTAGCAGGAGGCATATGTACACACCTTGTCAGTTTTAGAACAGCTATGCTAGCTCCAATTTGGTTTCCGGCTTTAAAAGGCTTTAGGACAGGATGACTCAAGAAGGACTTTCTCATGTGAATCTACATGGGCATTAAAGTTACTCATAAGATGCCCTTTTTATCTTTATCCTACCCCCCTAACTATGTTCCGTGGAGCTGAACTACAGTCCCAGTGCAGGGGTTTCTCTAAGGATGCTCTCCATGTTTAAATGTGCTCATCAGGCAATTCTTATTCTTTTTTGCACCACCAAAAACCTTTTCATTTGCTTAGGTTTTCAGTCTAGGTTTATTTCAGATTTTTAGCACCTTTTTTCTGCTGGTTTTCTCTTGTGAAACTGAATTAATTTTTATTCATGTTTCTTGTGAGTTTGTATTTGCTTTGGAAGAAAAGACATAAAAAGCAATATTCTATGTTTGAAGTACAAAAATAAATAATGACTACTTACCCATAGGACTGACAAGAATTATTTGCTGCACTTGGGGTCCCTGCTGTTTTAACAATACTGTAAGAAGTTTCACTCCAGGCCACCGGACATGGAAGTCAAATTCCTGCAAATGTATCATGCTATGCATTAAAACCCAGTGTATTTTGCTGCTACAGTTATTCTAGACAGGTCAATATTTGCTTACATTTGTTCTAACCCAGGAGCAGAGAGAGATAAACATTAGAATCTACCCTAACAGCAGATCTTTGGCTGCCATGTAGTAATTGAAGAAAGGTTTTCTAACTCCTCACTGTTTTGGTTTCCCCAAAAAGCAAGTTAAAAACTGCAAAAAAGCCACAACTTTGTATGCAAAGCTTGGTTCTGGTAATGATCACAAATTTTTGGCTCGACGTGCAAAGAGCAGGGATGGACAAATGTGTCAGCGTTGTTACTCTTTAGTTACAGCTAATTTGCAGATTTTTGTTTCTTCACTCCCATTTTCATTTCAGTTTACCATTCTCATTTTTAAGATAACTGTACTGTATATGGATTTTTGTGTGCATGTATCAAATATGTTCATTCTGCTTGCAGTTTTGAGACATACCAAAATTGTGTTGCATAGCACAGTAAATCACACTAGAGTAGGCCCACTGAATCAAGCAGGATTAGGTAAGTCAACTCTTATGTAAATTCAATTGATTCAAACGGGCCTGCTCTAATAGGCAAAAGTAAGTTGCAGATAAGAGTAAGTCCACTTGAATCGATTCACTACACAATACGATGCTGACCATTCATTTTTATGAACATGCTCATCAAACCTATAGATCTTTTTGAGCAATTTTTGTGACATATGTGCACTTTTATCAAGTGTATTACAATTTTTTGTTTCACAGAAAACTTTCTACTATATGCATTTTCTCACACAATTTCTCCATACACACATTTTTTCTACACAATGTAGTTTTAGAGAACTGCATTGCAAAGCCCAAAACAATGTGACTACTGGACCAGGGTTTTACAATTCACGCACATAATTCAGGAAATGTAAATCTGGCAAGGTTATACTAACAGATGAAGTTAATGGACTTCTCCACCACGTCTTTTTAACAAAAAACTTATTCTCTTTTAATTGTGTTTATTACTGCTTTATTTTGTTTCTGTATATTCTTTTGAATTATATTTCCTATATTTCATGTTATGACTGTCTTGCACAATAAAGCTAAAATAAAAACTCCCCCATTCTTGGCTGAAGTATTCTGTCTATTAATTCTTAAGAAATGCTCATCTGCGTCATTGTTTTGCACCTGAATCTTGTTTGGTTTCTTCTTCTTTTTAATGAATCCTACAAGTCATAGATTTGCCAACCCCATCTCACAATGAGTTATAGAATACAAGAGAGGACACTGCTATTACAAATGTAGCAGGGAAAGCATCCCCATCCAGGAACTAATGATCAGGCAGTTAGGTCAGGAGGAAAAATTGGCAGGCGGCTGCAGCAGTGTAAGAAGCAGACAGGAGAGAATATGAAGATTCCATCAAGCACCAAAGACCTCCATAGATCAATGAAGTCAACTGTATGCAGAGGTTATTCACTAGAACTGTCTTCTAAATGGCAGTTTGTTTTTTAAATGAAAGTACAGAAAACACTTTCTTGCTCTTTTTCTGCATACCAATATGGAAAGATGGGTTTAGTGAAGAAAGCAGTAAGCAGGAAAAGATGAATTATTAGGAAAATATTATTACCCTTTAAGACCCTTTCTACCTCCCTGCAAAATGGCCTATCCCCAACATGCTATCGGGAATCCTATGATTGTGAAGAATATCTTATTTAGACAGACTTTTAACAACTAATTGGGCAATTTTTGTTTTCCTGTGGGAGACACAATTATTATTTTATGAATGTTTAAAGTGCTTTTGTTTCTAGCAGCTTTCAGTAATGTTTTAATACTGTTATATGTTTAATGGGTTTTTTTAGTGTTATAATTCATAGTGGCTTTCGTTGGTTTGTTTTTTATTAACATGTGAGGCAACTTGGGTCCCTTAATTGGGAGAAAGGCACCATAAAAATGGAAATAAATAAATGGATTAATGCATGCATGATTGAATGAATTATTGCACTGGATGTCTAACTCCAGTCACAATACACAAAGGAATGCTTGGTTCAAACTAACATTGTCTCAGCCAACCACTGAAACAATAACAATAACAATAAAGTAGCCTATACTATCTGCATGATGCAATTTTGAAACAAATACAGTTTCCTTCATGAAAACTTCACCTAATTGAATATTTATTCCATAGCTGAATTTATTCTTACCTCCAAATAAGTCAGCAAAAGAGTGATGTTTTCATGCTGTTTGATAAAAATTTCTGTAAATTGACTACCAAGGTCTTCAGCTTGCTTCTGTGAATTTTCTTCTGTTGAAGATTCAATTACAGAACAGTGTCAAGTATTTTAAAAGATTCCAACAAAGACCATTTTCAGTAAACATGTTAAAGATATGTGATAGCCAAATCTAAATATAACCCCTAGTTACCATCTACCAAACTACAAACGCTACAAGGCAAATTTAACATGTAGTACACAGAAATTTCTTAACTCCAGACATGAAAGTTGACAGACTTTCTGATAAACATTGAAGCAAAAGTCAAGAGACTTATCAAGTAAAAGTAACAAACATCCAATATCTTGGTTAAGAATCAGATATATTTCTATTCTATCTTCTTTGTGCAATATCAAATTAGTCTCAACTGCTTTGTGTTACATATGTACTTAACAGTAAAGCACACTCACTGCAGATGCCTATTTAGTACAATAGGGTCTCGACTCCGACCGCAATACAGTAATACTACAGGATATACTCATTCAAGTTGTAAATTTGTATTAAACATAAATATATGCTCCAGGTTATCATTCCCTGTCTACTAGTGGTTCAGGTCTAAGGACTGTTTTCCGTTACTAATCTCGCGATCCAAAACTTCCTCAGTTCTTTTCCTCCACTGGCATAGAGCATGCTTACAGGCATTAAGGGGGGGATACTTCCCTCCCTCTGAAATTCACATGAAGAAAGGGCATTTTATACAGAGGGCAGCTGTCATATTTCTTAATTCTCTGAACATTACCTTTTTTTTAATGAACAAAATATTTCACTACCCAACTAGAACCTTTATGATTTCTCAACATATTCAATTTACAGTACATTACTTTTCTAAAAGTTAGTGGCCAGAATCCTGTAAGTGATTTATTATGTATGTGTAAGTTAAAGTACTTGAGTTCATACCGTGAACTGTTGCTAACTAATGAGGTGTCAATCACATTACTAGATGTGCACCAGCCTTGTAATACAACTAGTATTTCCATAGTTGATAGCAATCTTCCATGGTGATTCACACAATTTAATGTCTACGCATATAAATCATCAATATGATTCTGGGCTATAATAAAATATATATTCTGTGGTGGAACATGCAGTAAATAGATAACTGAGAACTCCACCTTGATTCCATGGAGACAACATTTCAGTAAGATGATGGTGATAATAGTGATGTTCGTGATCAACAAAATTTGGGAAGTCAGGTATTGTATTACATGACAATATGCTGAGTGGACATGTTATATTTTCTGAATTAGAAAAATCTGTCCTCACAAAAGCAGTATTCTATTTAGATACATTTATCCAAATAACGCTACAGAGTATGACAAATAAAATAATATAAAATTGAGTCTTCATTGGTTTCACAGGCTAAGGGTATCTGCTGGCAAAATACTTCAGCACTGTTCCATTACTGTTCAATATTTTTAAAAAGGCTGAGGAACCCTCAAGCAAACCATCTTAGACTACAATCTGAGAAAAGACATAGAAGTAAAGTTCCTGCTGTAGAAGTTTACAAAACTATCACTAGGCAATGCACCACATTTACAATTCCTTACATTGAAACAGTGCATGGCTTGGGGGGGAAATCAAAAGGAAGCAGGAATGGTTTTTCAAACAGACAAAATAAAACATACAATAGTTCAATAACAGCTCCAAAGACTTAGATGAAAATCAAAGGAATGCTCACAAGTATTAAAGCGCAAGAACCACTCTTCCAATTTCTAGTAACTGCCAAGGATCGCAAAGAGATGAAACTTATGAATTTGATATCAGGCAAAAACTAAAAGAAAAATAAAAAATAAAGACTACAAAAATGTTGGGACCACCACTCTTATGAATTTGATGGGAATTATGAATTCCACGTGCCTTGTAATCTAATTTCAATCCTGATGGTCCTCTTTGCACATTTACCAGGCCATCTACAATATTTCCCTAATTATCAGTATTTGTAGTAGCCAGAATTACAATTACCAATACCAAGAAACCAGGCTGTAACAATTTAATCAACTCATGAATACTGGTGAAAATGGTAATTAGCTGATGACTTGTTTGGTTCAAGTGATTACCAAGGCACCAAAACACATTGGTGTATCTGTTTTTCTTTAAAAGGTTAAAATATTTATATAAAAGACTTTCTGACCAACTGAAAAACTAAAGTTGAAATTAAACATTTAATTACAAAAGCCATCCCGCCAACAGAAGACAGTGGCTGATCAGAACTATGCCTAGAGTGCCTTATTTTCAGAAAGTCTGAATAAGAAGTACGAAAGTGGTATGCACTCCCATGAAGAAAAGAATCCACTTATTTTCTCAATGCAGATAATGTCCAGAGGACATTGATATGAAACTCAATGTAAATAGCAGTGACAATATATATGGTTCTGGCCCTACTTTCAGCCCTCATGCATTCCAACAGATGTCTGAAGGGTGCTATTAATTTTTAAAGTAAATTAAGCTCCAACTTTTCATGAAGTTTGAAAAATACTACATTCTTGATATATCCCACTCACAATTTATCAAGCTAATGATGGTCTCACTGTCAATACAGAAGCAATGGCAACATGATCTTCGACAGACAACAGACACATCTGAACATGGTCAGCCTTGAATTTCAAGCACTGGCCTGACATGCATATGCTATAGGAATAGCATGCAGGCTAGTGAGAAAGCCAAGGAAGTGTATCCCTCTTATTGCACTCCATTTAAGAGCCAACAGGGTGCAAGAAGAAGGGGGACTTCTCCTTGCGTTAGTACAGAAATGTAGCGGACTGCTAATGGAATGACAGAGTTTTTGCCTCCTAGACTAGCTCCTAGTGGGCAAATGTAATTTTCTGCAGGCTAATAACATTTCCAGGTCTATTTAGACAGCTGAGATATATGCACAGAAGATTGGTTTAACTCTTTCAAATACTATGTTCCATAATTCATACAATGGTATTTGGAGGACCAGACCCATTGGATTCATCGCATTTCTCCCTTTTGCCTAGGGTAACAGAACATCTGAGAAATGAGTCTGTGACAGAAGGATTTTATCTCTTCTCACAGATTGTTACTGGTAAATTATATACTTCTATACAGTATACTTGATTTTATTAAACCACCCTTCCCTTTCTCTCCCTCAAGTGCTTCCTTTTTCTCATTTAACTTCTTACCGGCCTCCTCCTCCCCTCTCTCTCTCTCTTTGTCTCTCTCCCTAGTTCCACCCACAGATGCAAGAGGAAAAAGCAATTTCACAAATTTTACCTCCAGGCCCTCTGAAAAGAATGTAAAATTCTTAGGTACCATCATGTTTTTCCAATCAAAAATCAAAATTACTACTAAAGAATCCACTATATACATTTGCCAGTCAACAAGCAGCCAATTATATTCTTTTTCCTTTTAAAATGTTAAAACACTAATAAAGAAAAAATGGATTTTTTTAAAAAAGCAAATGCACAGAGAAGAAAAAAGCAAAAAAAAAAAAAAGATGCCTCATATTAACCAGGTTATAATGTCTGTTAAGTCATTAGTGAAATACTGTAATAAATACTTTAGGTGGATTAGCTGCTTGATAGTGTTTGACACATTATTCTAAATGAATCCTGTCAATCTAGGTGTTATTTAACAGGAAATACATTCTATGAAAGCACATTAAGTGCAGCATGCTCATGTATACAGCGTTGTTTAAAAAGGGACACTGCTAATAAGACAATTTTAAGTTTCCATGGCTTCAGTGTTAATTCCTTTAACAATTATTTCCAAACACCATGTGTTTGTAATGACCTTTTCAGACTGAAGACAGTACTTTGAGGAAAAAAATCAAAAACTACTTTCCACATTACAATTCAATACCTGACAGCCCAAGCTGTCTTGTTTCTCTCCAACAATATTAGCACTTCAAATGATTATAAAGCTCCCCTTGACATGAAGAGGGCTAAACCAATTTTAGTCTTGGAGATAAGAATTAAATTCTAGCAACACATGGACATATCTACACAGTATCCGTTTTAAAACTGATTAAAATGTCTGTTAATCTGTTGTTAATATGTCTGTCAATGCTTCAAACTATGACTTAAGACACACCATACTAATATCAATTCAGGTTGTTTTACCTTCAGAATCATCTGTAAAGGCAGACAAGAAGAGAGAAAAGTTCAAAAATGATGGAATTTCTTATTTAGTACAGCACAAAAGATAAGTTATTTTATAAAACTGATTTCAAGAGAAAAACCTACAGATGCATATTACAGTGGCTACCTTATTCCTTTAGTCCTCAATTATGGTTCAAAGTATCTGAATTCAACCATAGTTTGCTATCTATACCCTGGAGGCTCAAACTGATCAAAGATTCCACAGGTACTTGTTCTACCTTAAACTATGGTCTCCACAGAGCACATGCACACGCAGTGCATATGTGTGCGTGCATGTGCTCTTTTGCAAAAGCCCCTCCAAAGCAGGGTGGGCAGCTTTTAGGCCACTTCTTTTTGGCAGACTCTGAGCTTCCAAACTGAAATCGATTGCTATGTTGCTGGATTGTTATGTTGCTGGAAGGTACAACAGCCACTTTAAAGCAAAAGACAGTGACAGAAGCACAGTTCAGCCCTTGATGAATGAGGTGTCCGTGGCTAATGTGACCTATGAGAAGCCATGGTTAACATGGGAACTATTCAAAATAATCAGCCATCAAAATGGGAGAGAAGGCAATACAACCCTCTTCAATAATAGCCTGGCTGCGACCAATCACACCTTATGTGTTTTGTCATTAAATTGTCTATTGGCTGACACTTTAATCTGGCTATTGTGTGACTTTGATTTAGGAGAACCTGCATATTTTACTATATTACTTCTTCCTTTTCCCATGACTACCACATAAGGTCTTCTGGCAGGAATGCATCTATTCTGATCTTTTTCCCAATGCCTAGTTTATTTTTAAGTATTTGCAATATAAGTGATTCACACTCAACGAAATTAATACCTTCTACATTTCCTCCTTAGTCTGTTTTTCATAGAACCCAGTTTGTTTTGAAGGCCTACACATTACTGTGTGTACTATTAAAAATATAATTAGCAAAAGTGCTTGTGAAGAATCAGCAATATAATCATACATAAACATGCAAATAAGTGTTTTTTGCATTTGAATGTTTTATCCTAAAATGTTACAAATATTTAAAAGTAAAGCTAGAAAAAGTATGCTGCTTAAAAAAATCAATTCCTTATTTAATATAGAACTGAATTGGATAAAATTATCCACAAACATTTATGTCAACTTAGCACAGCCTCAAACACTTGATCTCTCAAATTTCCATTTCTGATGGCTGAATTTTACAACTGCTCTCTCATGTGAATTAATAACATGCAGAATATTTGGGGGTGAATCCAGATTCAGAGGAAACCAGCTGAAATAAGTGGGATTTCTGTTAGTCACTTAAGTCCCACTGAAATACACCACTTGAGACTCAAAAATATTCTCATGAAAGATTTGCCAGGTATATTTCAGACATTACTAGGGTGGAAAATCATTCAAGGTGCTTCTCTTTCATTTCCCCCCCTTACCTACTTGCAATACCCTGTGAGCTTTTAATCAGACTTCTACAATATAACATTTTATTATCTATGATTAGGACAGTAAAATCTGTATACTCCAGATAAGGATTTTCCTGCTGGAAATTCCAGAATATATTCCTCACAGTACTACTATGAAATGAATAGCACCAAACTACTAACTGCTAGATTCAGCACAGGAAGACAAGACAACTCAATCGAGTGGAAGCAGCATCCACAGTCCTATATATCTAAATATGATGAAAATGAATATAGACATTTGGAGCAGCTGAATTTCGTCCTTAACTCAGGTAACCCAATCATGAAACACAGTTGTAATCCCTTGTCCTACCCTGGTGATTTTTATATTCTTATTTTCTCAAGATTATTTTTTTTTAATGTACATCTACAGCTGGAAGCTTTAGCAAAGTAAGGCTGATGAACTTTTAATGCACTATCAGTAAATAAAGTAACTCTATATCAGTGTCAAAAGAAACCCTGGGGTACTTTAGAAATTAATTTCTGCTAAGATATTAAGCACATATTCCATTTGTTTTAAAATATAACTGAAACAAATATTCTGTAACTACTGTGCTTCAGCACAAATACTACAACTCAGTAAATATTTTTTCTCTAACAGCAATGGTACTTGGCCAGTTCAGTTGCACTGCACCATGACAAATTATGTGAATAAGCTTGCCTCAGTCTTAGGCTCAAATACTTGCTGTTCCCTTCTCTTCTTATGATGCAACTACTGGAAGATGATCAAAAGCGTGTATTTCATTTTTAAACCAGGAAAAGTTCCTCATCATATCTCCACTCTGGAAAGGATGATTAGCTTAAACAAGGCAGGATCAAACCATGGATTTTGATCCTGGATTATTTTTTTAACAAACTGTTTAAACAAACTACTATTGCCTGAGTTTAGACATTAGAGTGAATGCTGGTTTGTTTCAAAAGATGAGATGTTTCTGATCTCCAGGAATGAAACAAAGGAAGAGAGAGGATGTGAAAGTAAATGAGCCCACAGTTCATGTGGCTTTGCTTGCACAATACTATATTTACCACTGGGTAGAGGTGTGCATATTTGTGCTTTTGAACTACCGTTCCCAGAACTCTTAAGGTAGTACAGACAGTGGTCATACTACACAGAAAATTCTGGAGAGTGAACTGCAAGAAGCACAAAGATGCATACTTCTACCATTAAGTCTGAATTAGCCTTTGTGGTTTTAAAAATTCTTTTATTGATAACCAGAAACTGGAAACAAATTAAGTAAATCTAGTAGCTGCCTGGGTAGCTCAGTAGTCTAGGTATCTGGCTGTGGAATCAAATGTTGGAAATTCAATTCCTCACAGAGAAGCCTGTGTAGCTATGGGCAAGCTGCACAATCCCAGGGCAACCCCAGAAGAAGGGAATGGTAAACCACTTCTGACTACACTCTACTTAGAAAACCCTGGAAAGATTGCCGTAAGTCAGAATCAACTTAACAGCACACAGTTATTATTCACTGTTAAGGTAACGTTTTTAAAAACCAAGTTCATACCTTGTTCTTCTTCTTCCAAATCATTGGATATAATGTTATAGAGGGTATCCAAGGCATACCCAATTATTTCAGAATCTGAACTGTGAAAGCAAGTACAAAATAAAAAAAAGATTTAAAATATTTGTTCATTAGTACATTCATATTTGCCTTAGCAGCAGTTATACTGTGGTGTCCATGAAAGGTTTGTAATATAAACACTTTGAAAATAGGTATGGGATACATTTAGAGTTTGTCACCATCATCTTGGAAACTACAGTTTCGCATCTGAGATTAACTTTCAATTACAGGTTGTATTACATAGTTGGGGAAGTAAGTGAATGAAAATCATCTCTTGGCATAATTTTAAAATGTTCTTTAAGATGCTTACCGATCTGTTTGCAGAACATGGATAAGATGAGGCATAGCTTGAATCCCTACTTCCAGGCGGTATTTCTGTAGAATTCAAGAGAGAAAGTTACCAGTTAAAAGCATTCCTAATGAAACTGAAGTATCAGCAGTTGTTATATATATCTGATGAGCTACATAAGGAATAATTCCTACATACCTTTGAAAGAGATTTAAGGGCACGTACAGCATCCCTGCGATCTTCAAGTAATGTTGATGATGCTACTCTGTCACATAATTTCTGTATCTGTAACAAGAGAACAACAAAAACAATTTTTAAAATGAATTTTAAAATGTCAGATTATTTGCAAACAAATATCTTCTCTTTCTCTGTCCTTCAGCTGTGCAGGTGACTGACACAGAAATGTCACTGGAGTTGTAGCTGAGTGTGTCCCACCAGCTTCAAAGAAAAAGTAAGCAGTAAGATGTCAGAAGTCACACTGAACAATGTTGGAAGTCACTCTGAACAATCAATTATTTTCTATTATTTTTAGTCTCACCAAAACCACGGATGTTTTACCAAAGTAGTATGTAGTTTTGTTTCTAAAGAATATAACTACAAGTACGTTAAATTTAAACTGGAACCCGATAGTCCAGAGGTGAGGAATCTTATGCCATCCAAGAGTTTTCTTGTTAATCTGCTACGGGCTGCATTTCACTAGTGAATGGACTCCCACGGGAACTGGGCATGTCTATCTACTCACACCACATACCAGTAATGACACATTTATTTACATTCAACACCAGGACAAAGCTATATAGAAATACAGTGATGGTCAAATGGGTAATCACAACTTAACACCAATAAAATTTTGTAAGAACTGACTATTTTGCCCTCCATATACTGCATGCACACAGTTCAGCTGACTGGGAAACAGGGACAGGAAGTGCCAAGAAGGCATCTTAGGGCAAAAACTCCCAAGACAAGTCACCTTCTCCTTCTTAAGGGAAGGGCCTTCATGGAGAGGCCTTGTCAGAAGAGACAGAAGGTAAGGTAAGCTAGTTATTATTGGTAATAACTCACTATTATTGGTACATAACACTCTGTTGGAAATAAGCCCCTTCTGACTTGTGATTACTTCTGAAATAGAGATGCAAATGATCAAGCTATTAATGGAAAGCATACTCTTCTGTACCCTCCCTAGTGGTTTTAGTGTCTTTGTTTTTACCTTTATTAAAGAACATGGCTTCATTTTTAGTTTTCACCTTTACCGAAGAACATGAAGATAAAAACACAGAACAGTAAGGAAGACCAAGTTGTTACTGCATCAGCAAAATCTGACCAACAATAAGCAGCAATAGATAGTTTTATTTTCCTTAGTAAAATGTAATGACAGTCAGTGTGATATAATGGACAGAATGTCAGACCTGGGCTTACGTCATGAAAACTCAAGTAGAGGGGGAGGTATGGGCAATGATAAACTACTTCTTGAACAGCACACATGCCTCAAAACTTCTGTTGCAGCCATCATAAGTGGAAGTGATTTGACAGCTCATTACAACAACAACAACAATGTGCCTTCAAGGTAGTTCAAAATTATGGTGACCTTTTTCAGGGTTCCCTCAGTATGGAGTACTCATAAATGATTCACCATTCCCTTCTTCTGGAGGTGTTCTGGAGCATACTGCGCACAAAGTACAGAGCAATATGAAAACAATTCAGCTATAATCACCACATCCCAGAGACATGGCATGAGGTAAACATCAGCAACATTCAATATAACCACCCAAACATCCAGATGACCTCAACAACATTTGTAGTTATTCATTATAGATGTTAAAATACATAAGAGAGAACTCTCGTAGTATTCCAAAAAGAATAGACTGCAGCTGAGAGTAGCAGCCTCCCAAGCACCACCTTCAAAACTGGCTCTTAAGGAGGACCTGAGCCACCATAACAATGTCATTCAGCGCCATCTCAGAAAGGGGTTAAACCATCCCAGAGTCATGGTAGTGAATGATCTTAGGGTACTCCAGTAGGATTAATAGGATCTTACAGAAATGAATTCCTGTTTCATATGCTGTCTATGCTGCAAACTTCAGGATGGAGGCTGAAAGCCAACCCTGATGAAGCAGAGCACTGTAACTGACTTACATCTGGTACATTTGACAATGGCTAGGCCTTCCTTTTCAAGGGATGGCATGCCACTGTATTGTCAGCACTAAATGCTCTTGAGTATAGTTAAAACTGTTTACAAGCACATGTACTGATTGCAACTGATCAACTTAGAAACAACACAAACAGGAGAATTTCACTCAAGTACATCACAGTTTTCTTGTCTGTTATTTATGCATGTCAAGCTTATACTGGAGTCTCAAATTTCTTTAAGTAGTTTTAAAAACTTAATACCAATGCTAGATAGGCTGTGACTCTTATCAGAAGAGTTACTCTTATGTTTTGTTCCAGGGGCAAAAAACAACTTGGAAAGTGTAATTTTAAGCTGAAAAATTACTGGTGAAGGATAGGAGAGAGTTTAAAATTTCCTTCAATTCACCCCATTTCCTATCAGAGCCAATGAAAACTGAGCTTACTTTAAAAATAGTAACAAAAAAGAAAATATGCAAATAAATAGCTTGTTCAATCTCAGAAAATTGAGTTGTCTTTTACACACACACACACACAGTCTCTCCCTCTCCCTCTCTCTCACACACACACAACTTAAATACTCTGAGAGCTGCCTGCATACAACTCTCATGATGAAAATGAACATTTTCTAATTCTCAGAGTGATATCACAAACTCCATTCAGACATGGGGGTGGGGAACTGGTTCTCCTTTTTTATGCCAACATGTTGGGTTCAATCTCTTTAGCACATAGAAGCTGCTTTTCTGAGCAATCAAATTATACATACTATGAATACCCAGAATTAAAAAAAACAGAAGAGGGGCATTGTTTCTCCTGACTCATTTGTATGACCAAAGGTCACAAAACGTTCCCTTGCACTGCAATCTCTGAACTGAGATAATTTACATTTAGCCCCATATCAAGAATCCTGCAGTCACATACTAACTAAGAGAGAAACTCCTCTCACCTTTGCAATTTTTCAATTCTTTGCCACATTCAGCAACAAAGAGGTTGTTCCCTTATGGCAGTGATGGCAAACCTTTTTGAGCCGAGTGCCCAAACCGCAACACAAAACCAACTTATTTAGTGCCAAACTGCAATTAAATCTAAATACTGAGGTTTTCGTTTAGAAAAACAACTGCCCCTGCACTGCAAGGGTTACATTCTTGTTGTTTTTTCTAGGGGCAGTATTAACAGGGAAATACTTACCGGTCCTCCAATCCCCTGTTGGGCTAGACCAGTAATGGCCACCATTGCACCCCTCCACTGGACCACTGCACCAGCAGAGGGGAGTGCCAAAATCCAGGATCGGAAGACGGGTAAGTATTTCTCGATGCTGACTTATGGCTCTCATGCCCATGCAGAGGGCTCTGCATGCCAACTGTGGCATGGTGCCATAGGCTCGCCATCACCGCCTTATGGTGTCTGCCTTCTTCATCTGCAGTACAGAAACCTAGAGTAAAATCATACTGTGGTCTGGGAACCATGAAGCCTTATTCTGTATTTCCTCTACTTCATGTCCAAATTAGAAAGAATTTACATCTTCCCATAAAGAATAAGCATCTTTTAGCACCATTTTTAAAAATTACAACTAAGATGCTCTTGCTGGCTGGATAACTCAGTGGTTTAGGCATCTGGCTGTGGAGCTAGAGGTTGGGAATTTGATTCCCCACCGTGCCTCCTGCAAGTAAAGCCAGCCTGTGTGGTCTTGGGCAAGCTGTACAGTCCTGGGGTACTCCCAGAAGAACAGAATAGTAAACGACTTCTGAGCATTCTCTACCTGGAAAAGGGTCACCATAAATCAGAACTAACTTGATGGCATATTATTATTCATGAAGGTATTATATAACAGATGTAGGTTTTAACCAAAAACCTAAGATGATGATGATGATTAAAAAATACCAGGCACAATCAAAATTATAAAAAAACATTGACTGGTATTATATAACAGATACAGATTTTAACCAAAAACTTAAATATCTGTTAAATATCACCGCAGTATGTATGCTGTTCCAAATATTGTTGTTTTTTGTAGCTTTGATGGTGATTTCTGAGATCCACAACTGCTTATAGAACTGTGTGAAATTTCTTCATACTGTTCCCAAAGTCCCAATGACTACAGGGGACCACTGAAGTGTGGTTCATCCACAAGTGAGATGTTTCGATTGCCAGGTGTTGGTATTTTGTTAGTTTTTCCAATTCTTTATTTTCAACTCTGGCATCCCCTGGAATTGCAATGTCAGTGATCCAGACATTTCTTCATTTTATTACTACTACTGTATATCTGGTATGTTACGTTCGAGGTGTCTATTCATTCTATTACTACTATATCTGGTATGTTACGTTCGACGTGTCTATTGATTTGGATCTGGAAATCCCACAAGATCTTGACTTTGTCATTTTCTGACACCTTCTCTACCTGATGTTTCCATGGGTTTTTGGAGGCTGGCAAGTTATATTTTTGCATAATAACTGGTTCATTAATTGTGCCATTCTATCCTGTCTAATTCTGTAATCTGTGCAATCTTTGGACATTCACAGATGGGGTGTGAGACAGTGTCATCTTTTTCTCCGCAGAGTCAAAATTTGCTGTTAGTGCTAATTCCCTGGATCTTAGCTTTCAATTATATTATCATTATCATTATTATTAAAGTGCACTTAAAATGTTAAGGAGATTAAGTGCCTTGATTTTGTTTGTTTTTTGTTCTTTTACTGTAATAAGTTTAGTGAAAAATCATATTTTGGAAAAAATCAAATCAGTTATGGATACTGAAATGAAAGAGTGGTGAAAAGAGGAAAAAGGGAGCACAGTTATCTGAGAACGTATATTCTCTGACCACCTTTGTTTTTGCAGTGCATATTTTACTACGCCTAACAAAGAAGACACAATCCGCACAAATATATAGTTTGGGGTATTATTTCAAACAAACATGGACAAACTACAGGACCTACTTTGTTTTTTTAAAACTATAACCAAGTGTCCAACTGGACTAGAATCATAGGAATGAGCCAGCTCCTAAATGTACCCCATGAACCATAGTTTGAAATAATCTGCATACATAAGTAGAAATTTATGGGCAGAATCCTACTAACAATTTACGCTTGTGCAAAGGAAACTGCATCATGACTTGGTGGCTAACTGTCACTCATTTGTGAGGTCCTGGTTGTGCTCCTGGGTGCACAATTTCCCTTCAGTTAAGATTAAATATGCAACATAATTCTGAGCTGTGTCTAAATTACTACAAAACAGAGTATATCATAGTCCCACTTTTTATAAAGAGGGCATGTTTTTATAGTTAGAACTAGGAATCAAAACTTCTTGTCTTCTACTACTAGATCCTGGTCTACAGTCTTCTGATGTCAGTTCACAACATCTGCAAATTATCCTGTTTAAAACATAATTGATGGAAGAGTCAGCATCAGCTTTTTATGGAAATCAAGCCAACTAATCTTAGCCTTAAGAATTTGCTGTTTCTGCAAGGATGGGGCAGTTGCTGATATGATATCAACTGTCTATGGAATAAATTACTGAACATGCATGCCAATGACAACAACATACAAAGTACTGCACAAATTCCTTTTTAAATTTTCATTTGTAGAACTCATAAATAGAGCTCAAGTACAGAGATTCATATCACAATATTCCATAACTTCCAGAAATCATGCAGCATTCAAAATTATTTGTATTCATAATGTGCGACTATGACTAAGAAAGAAAACAGTTTGGATAATATGACACACATCAGCTACAGAGAGCATTTTAGCAGGTCATTACGCTCTTGAGAGAAACAATGCCAACTAAAACTCCCTTGTATGAAGGGTACAGGCCCTGCCCAGTTGTGGAGGTACTGATGAAACAGCATCAGCATACACATATATTTTGCCCTGTCAGTGTGACAAAAGATAAGACAATGGGCTTGAAAAAGGAGATGAGAACGCATCTGACACAGGCAGTGGTAGGCACAAACTGTGAATAGAAGTCTGGAGACACAAACTGTGAATGTGTGAATGACTTTGTGGCTATACAGTGCACCAGAGGGCAAAAGCAAGGCAAGTTGAGGGGAAGAAGTAACAGGTGTATAGTAAAAGGGGAATACAAAAGTGCAAGGGGTGGCAGAACAGTAGTGAACATGAAGGCCACTTTTGTTCAAGGGTAATTAATGACACTTAACTCCAAACTCCAACAGCCCAGATGACAAACTTTGTAAAGGATACGGCCAGCTCAACTACGGTATGAAGGCGGGGTCCTTGTGAAATGACGAACTCAGCCGCTCCATAGACTTTTACTGATTTTTAAGCATACATTTACACAGAAGATACGAAAACCACAAAACACACATGTACCGCACATACACCCACCCCAAAACACACACACAAACACAGACCCCGGCTTCGTGCAACTCGGATTACTGATGCGCGCAGACCCGGACTCTTCTTCCGTGTACATGTGAAAGGGTTACACGGATCCCGCGCAGGTACAGTACTCTTGGAGGAGCGAGAGGACTAGCAATGCCCCGATGCTAATCATCTGCGCCGGGGCACCACACCGGGAACAGGCGGGAAAAGAAGCGCGCTAAGGAAAGTGGGGTACCGAAAGGACCGGGGAGGGGGAGGCGGTTACGCAGAGACTCCCGACCCTCCGCCCCCTAAGTGTTCTCCCCTCAGCCGCCGGACTCACCGTCTCGGCTCCGGAGGGCTGCGGCCCAGTGCTTTGGGCACCCATGACGCCTCGCAAGAAGTTCATCTTTCCTCGCCGCTCCGAGCCGTCCTCAGGCCGCGGCTCAACTCCCGGGCACGGTCCACTCCCCGTCAGCAGCGCGGCCACTGCGCCTGCGTCAAGACGTGGCACAAAGATGGTCAAACCCAGAGGCCAAAAGCTAAGAGAGACACACCAACACACGGACGTGGCACAAAGATGGTCAAACCCAGAGCCCAAAAGCTGAGAGAGAGAGAGAGAGAAACAGAGAGACACCAACACACACTACTCTGCACTTCCGGTTTCAGTTAGCTGGGCTTTTTTTCTCTCTCCTCCTCTTGTCTTTCTCCTGTGGGTGGAATATAAAGCCGTCCGTAGGAAGCGCCCAGGAGCTGCTTCCGCCGGATAAAATGGCAAGGGATTTGGACCAAGAAGTCGCTGCATCGCAAGGCAGTGCCATAAACTGAGCACTTGGAGGGAACCTAAGGGGGCAAGTTAAGTAAAGTGCAGTTTGTTGCAACCTGAAAGGAGTTTTGAATGGAGGAGAAAATCGAAACCAGCCTCTCACTTAAAATGTTAGTCGCAGAGTCATAGATTCCCCTCCCTTCCACGTCCCAAGCAACAAGGTAGAAATTAGGGTCTGTATTCTTGTTGGTAAGGCTATTTCTATAATTTTCATGATGAAAGCAATATGCACTTGAAATAAAAGTATTGGTCAAATTTTAGCAGGGACTCCGCCTTTGTGGCCACTTTGTGTTTAAGGTGAGGGGCAGACCTACAGCTGTACGCAGGTAAGACAGACGGTTGCAGTTGTCCCTTGATCTCCGGGAGCAGCTCTTGGAACACCCGGGAAGGTGTAAAAAAATGGCTTCTAATATGAACCAGGAAGTACTCTTTCCAGACAATGAAATGGGATAGTACGATTTTTTTTTAATTAAAAAAATCCCTCTGCTTTCAAGTACAAGAGCGCTGCGTGGCACTACGTGTTGATCACATGAACGGAAGAAAGTGGAGGAACTCTTTTTAAAAAAACCGTAGATTTACAATGCGAGACCGACAATTCTGTTGTTGAAGACAGAAACTATTGGTTCGTCTTTATTCTCTTTTTTTCTCTCCCGAAGTGGACATGACAGCTGCACGTGGGAAAGAGCAGAAAGATCTAGGATTTTTGCGTAAATGAAATTGCATTTTGTGCTGAATGATTTGATTTGAGTTTATAAAATTCCCAGTGAAAGCCCGAATAAAACTCCATTGTTATTTTCCCTCTATTGTTGATCAGAAGAGGGCTTAGACTGAGCATAGTTGGCAGCCTGTAACGAACTCAGACTGTGTTTATCCGTTCCGGAGCACAGAATGAAATACTGTAGGTTAGAAGTGGTTTATTAATAAAGTATCTTAAAAACAAACGTAGGTTGTGCAAATCACACATGAGTTTGAGGTTCACTGTCATGAACCAACGTGAATTTGAACTCGACTTTTATATTTAATTAGCCTATTGTCAAATACAACTTTTTTTTTTCAACAAGAGTTCAACATTTTTATAAGGTTTTAAGTCAGGGCTGCAGAACATTGCACTTTCAAATGTTATGGACTACAACTCCCATCATTCCATATAATTGACAATGCTAAATAGCTGTAGTCCCATAACATGTAGAGAGCCTGGATTTTCCCAGATCCACTTTAAAGTAAGTCAATTGCCTAATCAATTCATTTACCACAGATGATTAGGTTAATAATCAGACACTATCAGAAATTTTAGAACACATTTGAGAGAATGCACAGAATATCAATGTGTTCAATAACTCAAATGCCAGATCCCAATATATCCAAACCAATCAAATTCACAAATTACATTGAGCTGTACAGAAATGAAGTAACCAGTAAATTGTAAAATTTCCATGAGATCCACATTCCATTATGTCAGACCTGGGCAAAGTGCGGCCTGAGGGCCACATAGGGCCTGCGAGCCGCTCCTATCCGGCCCGCGGACAGTTTTGAACATCAAAACCATTTATAGCTTTTTGTCTAAAGTTGATCAGTTGCTTATCTTTAACATACTGCAAAAAAACTCTTTAGTATTTGTGAAGATTAATACGTTTAAAATAAAAACAATCATAACACCACTGTTTCATTTTTAAGTAAAGTTGGCTCGGCTGCCGAACACAGTTCATATTTTTCATGTGGCCCCCCCATAGAAATTAATTGCCCACCCCTGCATTATGTAATGTCAGGCAATAAACATTTTCTGTAAAACATTTGTTATGCTGCTATGTAGTGGAATATAAATGCTGTGAAGTTTTGTGGATTATATCATAATTCCAAACTTGTCTCTATGTGATTTCTAAATTTGGATAATTTAGTTTTGGAAGTTGATATTCTAGCCTATTTTTCTGTGATATCCTTTGCTGGGTTGGACCCTGACATATTCATGCTTAGGAGAAAATTTGTTGACATTGTAACTAGGAAGCTTTCAGTCCTGATTGGTTTTCCACATTTATCATTTATTGGTCATAAGTACTGCAATGTGAATAATTTTAAGGCTTTGTTGGTAATTGCCTCATTCCCTTGCAGTCTTTTTGTGGTATGTGACTATGACTGCATGTGTTTGCTATATTCATTCTCAGATTTTTTTTTCTTGTTAAAATCTGCATTACCTTGAGCTGGCTTATTGTTAGGAAGGCATGGAATCAGTCTTTTTGTGGTATGTGACTATGACTGCATGCGTTTGCTATATTCATTCTCAGATATTTTTTTTCTTGTTAAGATCTGCATTACCTTGAGCTGGCTTATTAATTGTTAGGAAGGCATGGAATCAGTTTCAAGTCATTCGTATACATATTTAGAACAACATTTTAAATGCAATATTTTGATCTATTTCATTCCAAAATGGCTTGTGAATGGCTTAAAGTATAATACTGTAAAGGTTCCAGTTCAAAAAGATGATTGACTTTTAAGAAATTCCTTTTCATATACTGGTGTTTCTTATAAAGGGCTTCTTTCAGCGCCTTTGTATTCAGTTTATCAGTTAACACTATTAGTTGCCTCTCATTTTCAGATTTTTTCACTAACTAAAGGGAACTGGAAGAGGGTCGTGACGAAGAAATGTTATGATGCAATCGTTTAATTATCATAACACTGAAATTGTAATACTTAAAATTCCGGAGTTCGGTGCCCTTTCGCTTTTGTGGAATCTGTGGGAGCCTATGGAATAGGCTGTTAACGTTGGATTGACATTATATTTAAACGTTTACATTTATCCTGGTATGGAAATACTATCCTTGGAACTGGAAAGGAGGCCTGTACGGAACCGTCTCTCTACAGAAATGTCTCTCGGGGGGAAGACAATCGGAGAAGACGTTCGCAAAGGACGTCACAGTTCGAAGCCGCTCGTGATTGCCTGAGGCTGTGCTGCCGGGGGGGTTCTTGCCCGTGAAGCCCAAGGGGAGATTAAAAAAAGAGGGCGAGATCCCCAACCCGAATTTCCGGCTAAAAAACGAAAACTGCCATTGGTCCACAAACTTAAAAAAAGAAAAAAGCCTTCCCATTGCTCCTGCCATTCCCGTGGCCCGGGCGGTGATTCTGACCCCGCCCCCCTCTCCCCGGCGGGTCTCCTATTGAGCCTGCGCGCGTCTGCGCGCGCTCTTTACTCTCCCTCTCCACCGAGCAAGAGGGAGCGCGCGCGCCCGCGCGGTGGAGATATCCGGTTCCGCCCCGCATCGGTCGGAGGGAGGGACGCGCCGCACCAGTCGCTCCTCCCCGTGCCTTCGGCCGGGAGCGAACCGGATCCAGAGAACGAGGAGAGCGTCTAGGTGGGTAACGGGACGGATTAGGATGGAGGGGCCGACGCGGGAGGTTGTTGAGGGGGCCCGCTCACCTGCCTACCATACTTTCCTGTTGTCCGGGAGGGGGGGGAGGAGGATTGGGGAGAGGTCTCCGAGTTCTCTGTAGGTTTTCTGCCGAGGCGCTTTTCCTCAGAGAAAGGGCTGTGAGGGGTGGTTGCTGTCAACAGCACCATAGGCCGACTCCATGAGCTATGCGTTTTAGAGAGGGGTCCTCCCTTCCTCTTTTATGGAAAGGGCAAGAAACAGTACTCTTACTCAAAGGTGCCCCTGTAGGTTGCAGCCCACCTACAGTTTACCTGTGCGTGTGAGAGAGAGCAATAAGGGGTATTTTCACTAAAGTGCGTGCTCTCGTCCTAATACTAAATGATGTCTAACATTCCTACCCTACTTTGACTGCTGAAAGGGATTTCTCTATATTGTAATCCCTAAAACTACCCTGAGAGGGAGACCAGAATTAGATAGGGCTGAGAAAGAGTAGGCTACCGACGACGTTGAGGTTCAAAGCAGACCTTTCCTGTTTCAAAACTCTTAGCCTCTCTTCTATATTAGCTCTCATTTTACAGATGAAAATGGAGCAGTTGCTATTTATTTCTGTTCTGCTGACCACATCCCCTCTCATAAATAAGTATATACAGTATTGTTTTAAATTATCTTTCCATAAGTTAGCTACTGTATGCATTTAGTGAGCAACTGAACTTTAAGAAAACAGGTAGATCTGATTGGAAACATAATTGAGAAATTACAAGTTCTCTATTATATTTTTAAAGGGTTTAAAATGATACATTTCTTTTGTTCATCAAGGTGCATTCATGTGAGTGCACACTAGCTTTACAGGTGATATGTTTGCCTCCCATACTTTCAGTGTGTGTTGTAACAATTTTAATGTAACAGATGCAAAAGATCCTCTGTTAACCAGAATAAAGCTCCATCTCTTTCATTATCTTGTTCCAGATAGTGAGCAGCCAAATTTTTCTGGAAACTCCACAGCCAGAGTCCAATGTGCTGTGTGTTAACATTTATTCGGGCATAGAGGTTCAAGGCCTAAGGACTGTGCTGCAAGCCCTTTAATAAGGATAAGTTACAAACAAAGCCACACTATTGCATTTGGTGAACCACCTATTAGCTCCTGAAATAGTTCAGTGACATGGAAACTAAATGCAGGAGGTGTAAACCCTACAAAGGGAATGGGCCAAACTTAGCTTTTGCATATCTTACAACTAGCAGTCATTTCTTAACATAAGAAGTGTGCAAGACTAGGCATTATTCTTCACAGAGGAGATATAGCTGTTCAGCAGCATTTGGTAGGAGTAGTATTTGTCACCTTCTAGGTACTAGGTCTCAGATCCACCTGGAACAAAAACAAGAGTTGCTTGAAGAGATTGTGTGACAACACAGGTTTGAACTGCAAGTGTCGTCTTGCACTAGAAAAGGCTGGAAGGAATCAAGAAAAACTCTCCAAAAGAAGCAGTACATTGGCCAGTTGCCCAGCTCCCATACAACACAGGTTGCCTTTTGAATCACTGAGTGAATGCCATGTAGTTTAGGCCTTTCTCATGACAGTTTTTTTAGTGCCTATGCTTGCCAAATGTTGCCCCAACAATCTACCCTTGTCTGAACAGGTCATTCTTCAGTATGGCCACTAGTTTATTGTGTCAGTAATCAGGAGGCTTGCATCCTATTAGGGGCCTAATCATGCTGGTGGCAAAATGGCCTGCAGGTGATGAATGAATTGTAGGCAATGAAATGTACTGTGATCTCAAGAAACCACTGAATCCCTCCCAGTTCAGAAACTCATTCTGAGAACTGCTGTAATTTGTAAGAACCAGAAGGCAGAAAGGAGTTGTTAGCTGCCAAAAATGTCAACACAAAAGCAGCAGCAATAACTCACATCAGAGTAAGTTATTCTACAAACAGAACATCCTGTCAGTCATTTTGTCCAAGCAGGGGTCCTGTGCTTTGCTGTATGATAAATGTAGAAACAGGTACAGTATA